ATTTGATAACTATTTTTATGTATGCTGGCACAAAATAAATGTATGAAAAACAACTGAGTTTACATACACACAGATGAATATTTTAAATGCACATGATATTGGTAGACACATGGTTCTTTATTTTTATGTCCCATCTAATATCTTGTTTGAATTTAAATTATGTTACATTGATTAGCTTCTTTTGTTATCAGCAGTTGGATATTTATTTATTTATTTCAGTAGTTGGATATGATTTTATTTATTTCATTTCTCTATCACTCTGCAGCTGAAGTTCTCTAGGCAGTTTACAGAGCCCATAAAAACATACAATTAAAAACACAGTAAAAATATCATCTGATGTTTTGGCTATGTTATTTTTAGGGAAACGGAGAGCTTAAAAGAAGGTGACGATTCTTTTTCATCCTATTGCAAATGTAGCATGCCTTTCCTTGTCCTGCAAAGTATAGGAAGATGCTAGCTGGGAAATTGGAATTTCATTTGTGCCAGGACTTGTGAGTGCATATTCATAGGTGTGAAATATCTTGTAAAGCACACACACATACAGAAGGCTTCTGAGATAAAAAAGTACAGTAGCTGGCACTGTAAATAGTTTTGTCAGTTTTATGTATGACCGATCATGTCAGTCTCATGATGGAAGCATTTTGTGTGTCTGTGAGGTATAGCATTGATTATTATTATTTTGTGTCCACAAAATAAGTGCTAATACTGGCTGTTCTTTTATTCCTCATATTAGAGTGGAAATGTAGTTTGGACATAATGGATTATTGATTGGTCTGAGAACAGCAGAAGCCCCAAGGCCTTGTCATCAATGGTACTCACTCTCCCATTAGAGAATGCATCACTTCATACTGCTATTCGGGATCCAGATCTGTAGAATATAAGCTTATAATTGTTGATCTTGTAACAGAACGGTTTGTAGGGCAGGGAGCGCTTCATTGTTGTTATGGGCTCTGCGCCCCTCCCGCATTTGTTCAAAGAATAGCTTCTTTGTTTGGGTAGTAAGATAAGCTGGACCAGGATGTTAATGATGTATTTTAATTCATTCCTTATAGTGCTACACTATAACCAATAAAATACATTTCTTTGTCTCTGGGAGGACAAACATAGCCAGTATATTGAAGCACAAAATATGTACTGAGTGGGTGATAGGCCAGCATTTTTCAACATACCCTATAAAAGGGAACCGGAATAACCTCCTCATACGACTACTTTAGAAAGTGCTTTGCGAGTTGTCTTATATACATCTTCACTATTTCCCTGTAATTCTCATTCTCTCTCTCTCTCTCTCTCTCTCTCTCTCTCTCTCTCTCTCTCTCTCTCTCTTTTGAGAACCCTTCATTTATTGTAGATTTTTCCAACTTAATATAGGTGTTTGCGGGTGTGTTTTGTCTTTTCGTAAGTGTTGTTGCCTGTGGTGCTCTTTCATAACAGTCTAATTATTTCCTCTAGAGGTTTGGAGCCTATTTAGAATATCATCATTAGATCAGTGTGTGGGGGAGCAAGAGAGCTAGACAGGACAAATGACATGGTAGAAGAATCTTAGAATACAGTTGCAGGGTTGGTAGTTGCAAATCTGCTAAGTATGTATCTCAGGACATAAAAAGGAACAGATCTCTATTTGCAGCAAAGTTAAGCGTATTATTGTTCTGGCATTCTGAACAGAAGCACATTGAATTTAAAGGGTGCACCCCCACCTCCACCCCAGTTTTGTCTTAGTAGCTTTCCCCATTTTGGCATCTTCTGCTTTAATTTAGTTGATAGTTTAGTCAGTTTCCTAGATTAACAACAACAAGGGGGGCGGGGGGGGGGGGGGGAAGGGCCTGGCAGAATTCAGCTTCAAACCTTCTTGGAAAAAATCAAGGCAAAGCCATGCTGACTTTTTCCTAATGCCTGTATTTACTTTGAGAGACATAGACTGCTAGGATTTCCTGTGAATTCAAGGATATGCTTACTATTTAAAGACAGGCAGCCCACCCCTTCATCTTCCTGCTCCTGTGCATTAGCTGCTTGAGAATTACAGAACAGTCGTGTTATCTTTGGAATTAAGCAGTATAAAGGTGAATGAAGTTGTCCATAAAAGGACTTTAAAAAAGCATTTCTGTGGGATATTTGCCAGAGCAAGGAAGTAAGGACTGCTCATTCCACATGTAGGAGTTGCAGTTTTACATCAAGTTGTAATTCCCTGACAATGTGAGATTGTTTTGATGCTGGGAAAGGAGCCCTGCAATAGACTGTTGGAAATGGAACAGCAAGACCTGGGATCAGATTTTAGTACAATCATAGGCCTTAAAGTACATTCCGCTCCCATCACGTAGGCAACACTGAATTATGTGCAAAGCCCCAGTAAACACACTTTGGAAGTATGTTTCAGGTTTTTAAAGAAATAGGTCCAAAGCATTGACATCTGGTCAAGAAATATTTGGCTTTTTCTCCTGAGACTGCAGGGGTTGCTGTGCAAAACGTGGACTTCTTATTTCAGAGTCTAGTGTTTATTTTAAACTTTGTACTTCTGGTAACAGAACAATATAAAACCAAAGTAGTGTTCTTGAGAAGCATCTGCCATGCTTAGAGTTGAATCGAAACTGGAGCTTCCTCTGCTTCCCTCTCCTCCAGAAAAGCTTCTCAGTCCACCTGCAGGGTGGCTCCTGCTGGCTGAGGGCTAGATGGCGGGAATGCTGGACACTTCGTAATCTGCGCGCTTGCTTCACCTGTCATCTCTGACAGGGTGAAGGAACTCCTTCTCCACTGCCAGTCCCTCCAGCTCTGAAATGCTTCCCTGCTTTTCCATGGCAGGCTCGTTCTCACAGCCTGTCTGAGAGTCTTCACCAGTTAATCCTGAAACTGCAAAGCCATCTGCCTCCCTCCACCTCCTCCGCAGAATCGGACACCTCTCTCTGAGCAGGCTGCAATGTGCGACAGCCCTCTCTCCACAGGCTGATAGGATTTGCAGCATTTGCAGGACCACGTGTTGCTGACCTTTAACCTAGGCCTATGCCATGTTTAAAAGAATCATGCAGCATAATGATTAGCAAGATGGGAACGATACGTATCTCCTGTATAGGCAATTTCCACTAAAGTGGGAGCTCTCCCTCTATTGTGTATCTGTACACTCCTGCTGCAGTTGTTGAGAGAGTCCTTTTATTAGCATACCTTTTACTTATCAGGCTGCTTCTTGAGTTCAAATGTCTACAATCAGTTCGAGCATTCTGTTGGTACACAAGGCAGTCAGGAAGAATACTAAAAATACTTAGTTCTCAGTATATTGAGTGATGAGGAAGACCTTCTATTCAGAGCATAATTTTAATACCAAAAGTGCCACCTGATCAATGAAACACAGAATGTGTAAAATACATGCTTTGTATGTTCATTATAAGTGATAATGCAAGTGGCTAGCAGTTTAAAATGGAAAATGGATTCAATTGGTATTAAATTGAGCAAGCATTTGATTTCAGAAAGATAATGGTTTAGCCCCTGACCCTACAACTTCCTGTGCTGACAAACTGTGTAAAGTTAGGCTTGAGAAACCAGTTGTCATTCTGAGCTAAGATAGAAGTGTGGGGATGCTGGCAGCAATTGGTCAAATTGGGAGTTGTTATGGTGGCTATCTGGAGCACAGTCTTCTTACCACAGGGCTTCAGTAGCATGCAGCTGAGCAACGAAGACCCAAAACACTTAATCATGATTCCATCTTGATTAAGCAAGATAGTACCTTGTTCTCAGCTCAGCAAGAGTATCCTTTGCAAGCACTTTTCTGTGTGGCTGAAACCCTTCTTTTCCGGGTACTTTCCAGTTACTTGGCCAAGTCCTGAAATCTTTTGGGGGTACAGTGCAGTTCACACATTGGTACCTAAACACACATGGACTAGTTGATTCAGGACAACAGGCTTTTTAATAAACTGCCATTTTCTTGTTGAAAGAGGAACTAAAGTTAGGAGGGGCAGGAATAGTAGGGATGTTTCTAGAAACAGAAATATGAAGCTCTTTTCTTTCAAATGTTGGGCATACAGATATCACTACTGGAGGCCAGTAGGATTAACCAGTGGATGCCTCTTCACCAACGTAGCAACAGACTTTCTAAAAAGGAGGGCAGAAAGGTTTTTACTAAACATAATTTTACCTGTAGTCACAAAGTGGAAATGTAATCTTGTATAATGAGATTTAAAGTTTTCAGTCTGTGAGAGCAATACAGAAATGGTGGTATTCAGTCTTCAATATTAAAAATTCCTCTTGCTGAATTGTATTTACCCACCCTCAATATCTCAATGATTTTAATGTAGCCTAAAACTGTTTAGCTTGTTCATGTGATATCTAATCCTTCTTGTATCAACAAGGACTTCCAAGTCTGTGTTAACATTCACCTAAGCAAGGTGTTAGTAACCCTACTAAATTAATTGGCCTGTGTAAGGATCTTATTTAGCTGTACTGTTGCTTCCCCTTAAATAAAAAAAATAAAATAAAAATAACTATAAATAAAAAAGATAAAAAGATAAATACAAGTATAGCAGCCATGCCTGAGATGCCATTTGCAGAAAGGATAGAGTACTGTACAAAACCCTTTTATCTCTAAGCAAACAAAAGTTTGGCTGTTTTTCATGAAATTATACGTGTCTATAAAACCACAGACTTAAAATATGACAGCTACTTCAAGAAAGGGCTTATTCACTTGAAGCTGTGTACACACTTTTTCTTTTGGATTTTGAAGGAGAAAAAAAGTGTTTCTGAGACTTGTATTCTTATTTTTAGTAAATAGCAATTATACACACACATTCTGTCTCCTGGTGCCTGAAACTACTTTTCCATACATATGTATGAATTATCCCAATTCAAGTTAGGAATTACAGTACACTCAAGTCAGATTTAATGCAGTTTAAGCCACTTTTTTGGTACAGGTGAAAATAAAGTCTTGATATAAACCTAATGCAAGGGATCAAAATAAATATGTTTTCTGTAATTCAGATTTCATTTAGTAATGCTTTGTTGTGTCTTTGTTTTGGCTCCAGGTCCAGTTTACCATCTGACTCAAAAACTACCAATGTATCAATATACCCAAAATGCTTTCAAACAGCTGAGGCAAAACTCCAATATAAGAATGAAGAGATAAAGACTCAGCCATCAACAATTCATGACTGAAATGGCTACATAATTTCCCACTCATGGACAGTTTTTTGCCTTTTTGTTGGTGTTGCTGTAGTACGGATGGATTGTAGTGTAGATGCAAACATGGAGTTACGAAGAGCTTCCAGTCCTCAGAAGATGAACAGGCATGACATGGATGTGGATAAGTTGGTATTGCATAGCTGCTGCATCTGTGGCAAGAGTTTTCCTTTCCAGAGCTCACTATCACAGCACATGAGGAAGCACACTGGAGAGAAGCCATACAAGTGCCCTTATTGTGACCACAGAGCTTCCCAAAAGGGCAACTTAAAGATACACATTAGGAGTCACCGGACGGGCACTATCAGCCAGGGGAACGAAGTGGAGGTGGGAGGAGAAGCACAGCTCAGTGAGATGAGAGTCTCAGAGGGCCTTGATGGTTGCACCAGCCCTACTAAAAGCACTTCTGCTTGCAACAAGATATTGAATGGAGCAGCTCCTGCAGAAGATGGCAAGATCTTGCTTCGAAGCAGCAGAAAAGAGTTGACCACAGAAGCACCTGTTGGGGATGATGTTAAGTTATGCACTCTTCAGTGCACATTCTGTAAAAACAAGTTTGAAGGGAAGAAAGAATTGGAACAGCACATACATCAGGTCCACAAACCTTTCAAATGTAGGCTGTGCAACTACATGACATTAAGACAGGAGACTCTATTAAATCACGTGGAGAGAGACCACATTACCACTCAGATTCCAAATGGGGAAACATACACTGAAAACTTCAAGACTGAGTCAAGTGCAGGGGAGTTTCCTTGTGAAGTCTGTGGGCAAGCATTTAGTCAAACATGGTTCCTCAAAGCTCACATGAAGAAACATCGAGGATCATTTGACCATGGGTGCCACATTTGTGGCAGGAAATTTAAGGAGCCCTGGTTCCTCAAAAATCATATGAAATCCCATGGCCCAAAATCTGGGAGCAAAAACAAGCCAAAAAATGATTTAGAGCCTATGGCCACTATTAATGATGTCATTCAAGAGGAGACTATTGTGTCTGGTTTGTCTCTGTATGAAGTTTGTACCAAGTGTGGAAACTTGTTTACAAATATGGAAAGCCTAAAATCACATAATTCTGTACATTGTAAGTCTCAAGGAGCCCGGAATGAAAAAAGAGCTGAGAGGCTCATTGATGAAAATCTAGACCCGTCTATAGCAAAGCAGTTTTTTCTCCAGTATCTGAACTTGAGGCCATCGGTAGGGATTGATGGTATTCCAAGGGGCCAACTGGGGAAAAGAGTAGCTGAGCTGGATCCAGTCAGTAGTTATCAAGCTTGGCATCTGGTTACCAAAGGAAAAGTTGCAGAACCTTCAGAATATGTGAAATATTTAGGATGGGATGAAGTCTTGGCAGATGCGGATGTCACGTATGACAGGGACAAAAGGGAGTATATTCTTGTCAGTCAGGAGAAGCGCAAACAAGAGCAGGACTCTCTAAGCTCTTCCAGTCATCCGAAGAAGAAGACTTGTAGTAGTGGGCGTTCAGAGAAAAGCAGCAGTGCACAGTCAGGGGACAACTGCATTCTTGCACAAGATGGCCTTGAGTACAGACCATCCTCGCGTCAGAGCAGACGGGCATCACAGAACAAGTCTACTGAGTGCTTTGAGTGTGGAAAGATCTTCCGCACTTATCACCAAATGGTGCTTCACTCCCGTGTGCACAGGAAAGACCGGAGAAGCTTCAGTGAGAGCGGAACATCAGCTCAGCAAGATAGATATGGTTCAAACAGTGAGGATGGTGATTCTGGATCTGTCAGTGGACCAAGCACACCAAGTTCTGCTTCTGCTCCAGAAGATTCAGTCACCTCTGGAGTAGGTGAGGAAGGACCTGAAGATAGTTCAGAGGAAGGAACACATGAGCCATCACCATGTAAGCTTTTATAATTTCTTTAATTTCTCATTTAGGGTACAGTGCTATGCATATTTTGACAAAGAAGGTCCTAAAATTCCCAGCATTCCCCAACATGCACTTCTGTTTAAGGAATGCTTTTTCTGTCTAATCATGGTTTGGATCGTACTTTTTATTATATTGCTTCTTTACTTTTAAAACTGAAATAGTCCACGGGCTTTTCAGCTGCCTTCGATGCATGATCAGCCATGGGTTGAATCAAATCAATGTTAGCTACATTTAAGTTATATTGATATTAGAGTGGAAAATCAGTCATATCAGACTGAAATTCATAGAATCATGGTCTCATAGAGCAGGAAGTGGCCAGAAGGCCATCAGGTCCAACCTCCTCCTCAGTGCAGGACTCCAGGACTTAAACCATCCTTCTCAGAGGGCTGTCCTGTTGCATCTTGAGTGCCTCTACTGTGGAAGAACCCACAGTCTCCTTCAGTAATTGGTTCAATTGTTGTACTGTCTAACAGGAAGTAAATCTGTATCTTTAAATGAGACCGTGACTAACCTGAGCTCTATTCTGGCATTCAGACCCATGTGTTTAAAATCACAGAAGAGGGAAGAATAGGTCTATGCTTGCTGGTCCTTCTCCTAGTGCTCTGGTGGGGATCCCGCACTGGCATTATGGGCTCTCGCCACACAATTTAGAATGAGATTCTAAATTATGTGGGGTCTATATGCAGGTACAATAGACTTCCTGCTACAGACTATGTGGTCGTTACCTAGACTGTGTTAAGAAACCAGAGACTCACTTCAGCCTAATGGCTGTGTATTTACTGAGCTTGCCTGAAATACAAGCAATAGAAGCCTCCTAAATGGGCTGAGTGGACACAATGGCTCCAGACACAAGAGTTATATACAAGTTCTTGTTAAATGCATGTAAGGCATGAATGTGAATAATTTAAAGTGAAAAACTGAAAGTGTGACAAGGTGCTAAATTCTCTGCTTACCCACAATTATCCCCTTGTAACTGCCTGAGCTTAAGTGCTTTTTTCATTTCTGGTGAAGCTGTAAGGTCCAATGTAACCTCAGCTGATGGTTAGGGAGGTTCAGGGTATGGGTATGGGGGGGGGAGGGGTTCAGGAATAGTAAAGTTTGTAAAGTAGAAGAATTCATTATCCATTTCTTATCCACAGTGTCTGAACAGTAAACTACACTGTCTTTAAAAGGATTTGATACTGCCTGCATAATGCCACATGGATCACCCAGTTAGAATGCACTGTTAGCGGCTTTGAAATGTGGTTTCATTATGAGTTTCATTGACTTTAGCAGGATCTGGTTGTATCTTTAGGATTTCAGTGTCTCTGAAATACACTGTGCTGTGTGTTATAACACATGCTGGATATCTTTTGGGTCCCAGTACTGCTTTCATTTACAAATTACTCTCCTTGATTCAGAAATAGCAGTCTCATTTACAGTGATTGTAACCCTGAAGCACCCAGACTGGTGAACAGCCATCAGTAAGATAAGTGTACATTCCTCTCTTCTTTTTCTGTTGAATCCCATGTCTTCATGTCTTCAAAAGTTGTGTTCAAAGAACACCAAGGCTGTAATTAATCTCCATGGATTACTGCAGTCTCCAGGGTCTGACTCTGGTTAAATGGAACAAATTATTCTCCAAATAGAAGCAATGTAAATATTTGAAAAGAAGGCTACTGTGGCTGCTTTTGTATAATCCCCCCCCCATTTTTCATTGTTCATTTTTCTTTGTTTATAAAGTTCTTTCAGATTTTGAGAAATGCAACTATCTTTCCTGCAACTTGTTTATATTATTTTTGTTGGGAGAACAATGCTTTGCAACTGTCATTATTTTTCCCATTGACAGTTGGCTGATTTGACTTTTCTAGCCTGCTGTTGAGAGAATTGCAGATGAAATAATCAGCACAGTTCTGAGAGAAATTTAGCAAACATTTACTGTTCCTATGCTTAGACACATTTCATGCATTAAGTTAGAGGCAAATCTTGATTGCCACCCTACTTGGTATTGGACAAAAAGCTGAAACCAATCACAGCACCCTCATGAGTACAGTGTGCCTGTATTAGAAATATAGAAATAGAAATCGCTTTTCTATTCATTACACTTTGGTATACACCTTTAATTCCATGTGTCCTAATAACCCAAAATCTCATATTGCAATTATTTCCTCTTAATCTTCACCACTGTAATAATCTGCTTGCTGTTTTGAAAAGGGCATTTCCAGATCACAATGGTATTCTGGGAGGCCAGTTGTGTACTTAATTGTGTTTCTATCACATAGGATGCAAAGGAAACATTAACATAATAGTTTGTATCATGCATCATGTGGAAGCTATTTACATCTGAAATTGTTTCCCAAATTCATTCTTGGTTAGATAAAATACAAGATAAATTTGTGTCTTGTTATCTTAGCTTTCTGAAGCATACAATATCCATAGCATACCCATATACTGTTGTTTGCCCATGCAGAAACTGAAATTCAGTATAAATCTGTATGAAAATAATGTGGAAAATAAAATTGGGGAATGATTGAGTTCGATACACCAGTACTGAAGTTAGTTTGCTATATTTTCCATAACTGTGGGTTAAACTATTCTGAATATTCTGTAAAAATAAGAATATTTTTGAACTTTTATATAGCATTGATACTGGCACCTCCTATTTAAAGCTTATATATACTAACAATAGTAATTAAGTTGTCATTCTGAAGACGAAGATAATAAGATGTTTTCTGCCAAAATTAAGGGCTAAATTGTAACCTATTTTTAGCAGTATCAGAAAAAATCCTTATGGCCTTTAGGCAGTGCCTGGAGCACCACAGAAAGCTGTGGATCTATTGCCTTGCTGCTTCCCTAGTGCTAGGCTTCATGGGGGTTGGTGAGAGAAGTCAAAGAGAAAAGAGACAGTTCTGGTGGTCAGGGAGGGGAGAAGCCATGAGATGGAATATCCCATGGGCTTTCCGGGCTGCTCCGCATTCTCCTAAAGTTCCACCTGAACTCAGAAGACTGGCTAGATACTTTGGTGCAATTTAAATGAAGGGAAATAGATGAGATCGTTCCATCCACATTGCTGTGCCTGGCTCTTACCACCAGGGCAAAGGAGAGGTAGGAGGCTCCAAACATGGAGCCTTCTGACCATTAGGAGCACAACCCACAAAATGCATCCCAATGTCTGTGTTTATGCAATACATTGTATGGGGGCTCAAGAGATCTGGGTTCTAGTCTTCCCTCAGCCATGAAACTCGCTAGTTACTTTTGGCCAGGTACTCACTCTCAGCCTAACACTACCTCACAGGGTTGCTGTGAAGATAAAATGAAAAGAACCTTGTAAGCAATCTTGGGTTGCCTGCAAAAAGAAGAAAGGCCTAAATGTGATGATGTCACCACACAGTGCATAGTTTTAATGATCAGTTCAAATAAAACCATGATAGAATCTGTTAGTTATTGTCATTTACTCTTTCACATTAAATAAGGATTTAATCCATAAATAAGTTAGGTAGAAGAATTCATCTGAAATACATTGATTGCTGACAAGCTTAATATTTCACTGAAATATAAACTAGAAAATGCAGCAAAGTATTGCCAAAGAGAAAACCAGGATGACATATGAAGCAACCCAGTGTGGAATAAGGAATTTCCTTAGGGTGGAATAAGTTCTACAATCCCTAGAATTTCTCATGTTAGGTAATATTGGAAGTTGTAGGACCTTTTTTCCTGTCTAAACATGCATAAAATTGACCCTTACTGTACTTAGTCACTCTATAACTCGTTTTGTGAGTGTTTCACAAAGCAGACATACCATTAACATGCAACATGAAATAATAAAAACCATTAAAAGCTATCAAAACTAAACCCAGTAAAAATACACATTACTCCATGTCTCAGACTATCCATTATATGAAGGACTTGAATGAATGAGCTGGTGTTCACCTGGTACAAAAACATCATAATGATAGTGCTAGACAAACTGGTCTCTTAAAGCCATTCCATAAGCAGATTGCCACTGCTGAAAAGCTGCTTGCCCTCATAAGTTACCTTCCTAATTTCATTTGGTGGGAACTGTTGGAGCAGAGTCTCTGAAAATGATCTTAAGGTTCAGGCAGGTACATCAGGGAGAAACCAGTCTTTCTTTTGATACCCTGGGAGTAAGCTGTTCAGGACTATTAAAGTGAAAAACAATGCTTTAAGTTGTGCCTGGAAAACCAGACTGGGAGCTAGTTCAGTTGACAGAGCATAAATGTAACATGATCAAAACATCCTGTCCCAGTTTATAATCTTGCAGTCTGTTCTGGACTAACTGTACTGCAGTAGCAGTCTAAACAGCTTCACAAAACCATGGGTAATTGCTAAATATGGTCACAGCTGGTACATCAGCCAAAGCTGGTAAAGAGTGCCTTAAGCCATAAAGGTTACTTGAGCCTCTAATGACAGTATAGCTTGGCAAGGACCCCCCAGATTGCAAACTTTATTCTTTTGGAGACATGCTGTCCTACCAAGAACAAGTTGAACACCATTTACTCAACCCACAGGGCCTGCTTCCCATCTTTTCCAAATTGAGTCTCAGTTTATTTGCCCTCATCCACCCCATTGCCACTCCCTGGCACTGATTCACAACAGCCAGAGCCTCATATGCATCTGATGAAAATGGGTGTATCATACTGGTACACCCTCGGACCAAATCTCAGGATGACTTTTCCCAGCAGCTGCAAGTAGATGTGAAACAACATGGAAACAAATCTGCCATATGCTTAAGTCATGACTATTTATTTATTTATTTATTTATGCAATTTATATTCTACTATTTCCTAGTCTGAGGACACTCTAAGTGGATTACAACATTTCACAAAAAACATCAAATTTTAAAACACATGAAAACAGCATACAATGAAACTGATAATGTGCAGCTGGAAGGTCAAATATCAATAAGTTAAAATACATTAAAACTAAAAGCAGTATAAATACCATCATTAAATAAAACAATATAAAATCAGTTG